CCAACAAACCGAAAGCCGGTCTCGACATCGAAGCTCTCGGAACCATAAATGGTGTCAACATTTATGACGTGAATTTGGATAATCTCGAGGAGAAGCCGTGGCGCAAACCCGGCGCCGATATCACCGATTATTTTAATTACGGTTTCAACGAAGAGATGTGGAAATTGTATTGCGAGCGGCAGAAGAAACTCAGAAATCATGACTTCCTGAACGCCGTGCCGGTGCCGACCCGACCACCGTTGGCACACCCGCCCGGCGCTGCGGTGGGCGCTCCGGGGGGTGCCGCCGGTGCTGTTCCCGGAAAACCCGGCGAACAAACGATACCAATCGCATCGATAAATGAGAACTCGAAGTACACGGGCGCCGGTTTGACTAAGAAGGCCGGCCCTCCGCCCGGACGCAAACAATCGGGAACTATTGAAGTGATCGGCGGCGGAGGGTCTACCACACCAAATATGCTGCCCAGCCGTCGACCGCCCGAAGCCAAAGAGAACACGAGTTTCATTCAGGTTATCGGCAATATAGGGAACCGTCCGCCCGGCCCTCCCGGTCCGCCGCCACCAGGAATGCCACCCGGAATGCCGCCCTTCCCTCCCATGTCAATGCCTCCTCCATTCGGATTCCCGCCGCCAGGCGTTGACTTTCCTCCGGGAATACCTCCGCCAGGAATGCCGTTAATCACTCCTAACGGTCAACCCCTGCCTTTCCCTCCGGGAGAGTTCCCGATGCGGTTCCCACACCCGGGAATGCTTCCGCACCCCAACTTTGACGACCAAACCGATGGCTATCACGAGGGTATGGGAGGCGATGACAGCGGAGACCGGGATCGCGACAGAGACAGAGATCGCGAGCGAGACTATCACCGGTCGGGTCGCGGATATAATCGTGATTTTAGAGAAGAGGATTCGTTCCGTTCGGGTCGCGGCGGCGGTCACTACAGGGATCACCACCACGAGAGGCAGGAGAGACAGCCTTCAGACAGGGATTACGAACATCACGAACGCTCTCGCGATCGAGACGTCGATAAAGACTATGAGAGCCGAAGACATCGCGACAGAGATAAGGAGCGCGAGAGAGAGAAGAGTGAGTCTCATAGAGAGCGGGACAGAGACTCGTCCTCTTCTCGGAGAAGACATCGCGACGAACACGAGTACGAAGACGATCACAGCAGTAGGTCGTCGTCGCGACACAAACACAGCAAACGGTCCAAAAGAGACAAAGAAGAGGAGGAGAAGGAAAGCAAACATTGAATTTCGTGATCAGTTTTTTGTAAAATAAATGCATTCATTGATCAAAAAACAGTAATTTGTAGCGATTTTTGTAAATTATTTTAAATTTTGATTTGAAATCACATTTTTTTTGTTTAGATTTATATCAATTAAGTAATAAACCAAATCTAATTGACTAATGAATTACATGTTTATTATGATTACCGTACAATTATGTTATAATTATTATAAAACACTTGTATTAATAAATGACTACTGATTCTGATTGCTATCGGTTTTAAGAGAAGCGGTATATCTATCATAAAAGCTATATTTGCCGCCAAACCTAACATCTGGTTCTTCTCCTTCGGCAGCGATCTTATGGTTTAACCAAAAAATCTCTTCCTTTTCTGTATTCAAGTCCTTAGTATCCAAATAAACGAAAGGTATTTCAAAGTGTTTGTTGGGATCAACTGTTT